CTTCATTTATTTCTCAGCAAAAATGCAACACACACACACACACACACACACACACACACACACACACACACACACACCCCCTAGCTATAACAGAAGAGGAGAGTGGCATCCGGCTGAACCGGTTTTACCTCTTGCACAAGGAAAGCCTCCTGCATGATTTTGGGGTTCAGGGCCCTCAGCTGCTCCATCGTCTCGTACTGCCCTTGGCAGGATCTCAACTTCTCCGAGGAACCCAAGGTGTATTTCAGGAGGACAAGGCCCACTCGGAAGATGATCTTGACGCCTGTGAAGAGAGGACGGGAATTGGAAGGTAACAACGTTTAAATCCCATCCCTTTCAAGCTAGTCCTCGAACCGACAACAGCTCATTTAGTCACCAAAGTTACAATGTGCTCTGGAAAAAAAAGACACCTAAGACTGTTTTTCCCACACTTACGACTGTTTTTCCACACTTACGACCGTTGTAGCATCCCCAATAGAGACGTGATCAAAATTCAGATGCTTGGCAACTGGCATGTACTCAGAGATGGTTGCCATCAAAATTTAAGGCTCAAAAGAAGAAGGGGGTGTGTGTCAAGCCATTCCCCAAAGCACCCAGGGAGGCAGGAGACGCAGCAATGGATGGAAACTAGTCAAGGAGAGAAGCAACCTGGAATTAAGGAGAAACTTCTTAACGTTTGCCAGTGGAACTGCTTGCCACCAGAGGTTGTGGGTGCTCCATCACTGGAGGCTTTCAAGAAGAAAGTGAACTGCCACTTGTCTTGACAGGGCAGGGGGTTGGACTAGAAGACCTCAAAGGTCAAAGAGGACAAGGAGACTGGAGGCTAAAACATACGATGAACGGTTGCAGGAACTGGGCATGGTTGGCCTAGTGAAGAGAAGGACCAGTGGAGACATGATAGCATCTTCCAATATTTGAGGGGCCGCCAGAGAGAGGAGGAAGGGGGTCAAGGTATTTTCCAAAGCCAGACAAGGAAGAATGGATGGAAACTGACAAAGGAGAGATTCAACCAGGAAATAAGGAGGAATTTCCTGACAATGAGAACAATCAACCCATGGAACAGAAGTTGCCTTCGGAAGTTGTGGGAGCTTCATCCCTGGAAGCTTTAAATAAAAGACTGAACTGCCATCTGTCAGAAAAGGTGTAGGGTCTCTTGATTGGGTGGGGGGTTGGACTAGATGATCTCCAACGTGCCTTCCAACTCTGTTAATCTGAATCTATCTAAGATGATCAAAGGCCTGGAGGCTCAAATATACGATGAACGGTTGCAGGAGCTGGGCCTGGCTAGTCTAGCGAAGAGAAGGACCAGGGGAGACAGGATAGCAGTCTTCCAATATTTGAAGGGCTGCCACAGAGAGGAGGAAAGGGGTCAAGGTATTTTCCAAAGCCAACAAGGAAGAATGGACGGAAACTGACCAAGGAGAGATTCAACCTGGAAATAAGAAGGAATTTCCTGACAGTGAGAACAATCAACCCATGGAACAGAAGTTGCCTTCGGAAGTTGTGGGAGCTTCATCCCTGGAGGCTTTCAAGAAGAGACTGGGCTGCCATCTCTCAGAAATGGTGTAGGGTTTCCTGCTTGGGAGGGGGGGTTGGATTAGATGACCCACAAAGTCCCTTCCATCTCTGTTACTCTGTTAAAAACTGCAACTACAACGCTAGCCACCAGGGGGCACTGCCGCTGCCCCAAAGTTTCCTGCTTGCTTGCTCAAGTTGGCGCTCAATAACATCCTCAATGCTTTGCTGACCTAGATTTGCAGCTCCCGGGGATTTACGCCTCTGCGTGGCCAGCTGGGCAGAGGGAAAAGCCACAGGGCAGAGGCCGGAAAAGGCCCAGCGCACGAAGAAGTAGGGCAGAGTCACTCCCCACTGGAATCTGTCCGGGACAGCAACTGAGATCAGGAAGGATTGGCAGAGGAGACACCTTGGCTCTCTGGGACACCTGGAGACAACAGGTGGGACGTTCCAGAGGGCTGTTGTGGCCCGCCAGTGGCCAGCAGAGCTGGCAGCCGATTCAGAGAGCGAGGAGGGTTGGGGGGGAACCTGGGCCGGTCCTGGAGTCTGGGGAAGGCTCGGACGAGGACTCTGCGTCGGAGGCAGAGAGGGGGCCAGAGCCGTATGCCAGTTATCATCTGCCTTCAGAATCAGACATCAGTGAGGCAGAAGAACAGCTGGAGCCTGTTCCCAGTGTGCACAGGTGCAGAATTGCCAGAGGAAGGGAACAGCTAAAGAACAGGGGTCGACTCGGGAGTGAGGCCACAGGTGGATGGTGAATGGCCCCTCCCAGAGGGAATAAAAGAGGAGCGAACAGGCCCCAGCAATTAGTCTCATTGTGGCCTTCCAAATGTCATGGCTGCAGTGCTGAACACCGAGAAGCAACCTCCCCCAGAGGCATCTCCCAAATGGGGCTGGGAACACGTCCCGTCCCGTCCCCAGCCCACCACAAAGACTGGAAGAAGCCCCCCCCTCCCCCCCCCAGTACCTTCGCAGAAGAACATATCCCAGACTCTCAGCACGGAGCTCCAGGGCAGGGTCCTTGAGAAGGCACACATGAACCACTCCGTCATGTACAGGATGGGGTCGATCTTCTGCTTGCTGAGGTGCTTGTAAGCCGGTGGGGAGACTCTCGGCAGCAGCGAGAAGAGAATCTCGCCGTCCAGCTGGATGGCCTCCTGCGCGGAAGGAGAAAGAGAAGGGAAGATCTTGGATCGGGCTGAGCAGGAGGGCTGACTCTGCCTCGGCCACTGGCCTACGTTCGCCAGCTGTCAATCTGCCATGAACTACATTCGCTAGAGGGAGACGGGAGGGAGGGGAAAGTGAAACTAACGTTGATAGGAAGAAGCAAAGCCTCAAGGTCATTAACCTGGGAGAAGAAAGCAAGACCATTGCTCAAATATAGCACTAGCCCTGATGACGTTACCTACTTAGGGTCATGAAACGTCCTCAAGAAAACAAGCAATCTCAGAGCACCAAAGACCCCCCTCATTTCAACCCTGAGCTACAAGTATTGTCCTTTATTGGTTACTCAAATATAATTGGACAATACAGGGCCAGGGGAGGAGAGGAACTGGATGGGGAAAATTTAACAGGGCAATTTTGGCGCGCAAACTTCAGTTCTGGCTTTGCTGTACTGTAATCCACCTGGCTCTTGGTAAAAGTATGCCTTTCGCTACAAATGGAATCGAGGGTCTTCCTTTGCTAAGGGACCAAGTTGGGGCAGGTCTGACACAAACCATTCCCGCACTGTTTCCTCGCTCTCCTGAAACCAGCAGACCTCCATCAGGGTTTGAGGCAGGGGTCTCCCAACTCGGCAACTTTAAGACTTGTGAACTTGTTGGTGGGGAATGCTGGGAGTTGAAGTCCACAAGTCTAAAAGCTGCCAAGATTGGAGACCCGAGACACACACACACGGTCTAAAGGAAACACTCACCAGCTTCTCGCTGTAGTAGCCAGGAAGGTATTTCTCACATATTTGCACAAGACACCAGAACGCTTGCTGGAGAGAGAGAGGGAGAGGGAGAAAGAGAGAGAGAGAGAAGAAAATATTATTAGTCCAACATAATTGAGTTTGTCCTGAAGGAGAGGAAAGAGAGCAATTCTCAAACTTGACAACTTGAAAGATGTGTGGACTTCAACTAACTGCTAAGTCTAATTTTGCTTAGCGATGAAGATGTTGGCCTCAGCTGTGGTTTTAAGTTGAGGACTACAGTGGATAGGGTAGGGTATAGGCAAGGAGAATAGAAAATAGGAGCAGAAGAGAATGCAGAAGAGGAGAATAGAAAATAGGAATAGAATGCAGAAGAGAATAGGAGAGGAGAATAGAAAACAGGAGCAGAAGAGAAGAGGAGAATAGAAAAGAGGAATAGAATGCAGAATAGAAGAGGAGAGAAGAAAATAGGAGCAGAATAGAATGCAGAATAGAATAGAAGAGAAAATAGGAGCAGAATAGAATAGGAGGGGAGAATAGAAAATAGGAATAGAAAGAAGAGAATGAAGAAGAGAATAGGAGAGGAGAATAGAAAACAGGAGCAGAAGAGAAGAGGAGAATAGAAAATAGGAATAGAATGCAGAATACAAGAGAAGAGGGGAATAGAAAATAGGAGCAGAATAGAATAGGAGAGGAGAATAGAAAATAGGAATAGAAGAGAATGCAGAAGAGAAGAGAGAAAAGAGAACAGAAAATAGGAATAGAATGCAGAATATAAGAGGAGAATAGAAAATAGGAGCAGAATAAAATAGGAGAGGAGAATATAAAATAGGAAGAGAAAGAAGAGAATGAAGAAGAGAATAGGAGAGGAGAATATAAAATAGGAAGAAAAAGAAGAGAATGAAGAAGAGGAGAGGAGAATATAAAATAGGAAGAAAAAGAAGAGAATGAAGAAGAGGAGAGGAGAATATAAAATAGGAAGAAAAAGAAGAGAATGAAGAAGAGGAGAGGAGAATATAAAATAGGAAGAAAAAGA